AAGTAGTGATTTGGTCCAGTTAAAAAAGGTCAAAAACTAGTATATCTGAAGCTGTCAAACTGAATTTTAGACCCCCTTAACACAGAATTGTCAATATTTTGAGTTTGAGCTGGTAGACTTTTCTATAATTTTAATATTATTTGTCCCAATAGTAGTACACTACACTGTAAAAATCTTTTTGAGATAGAGCAGGTGCGATTTTTATAATTTGACTTTATTGTCTAAAAGAAATGCACTACGAAATAACTGTGTTCTCGGGCCACCTAATAGAAGTTCCACTGGAAACTTTGTTATAAACAATGTCATAATATCTGTTCCTGTTGGAACAAATATTATATACAATTTATTCCGTTAGGAACATATACTGTAATATTTATTCGAGTAGAAATAATATTCCAGAATATTTTTTCCACTTGGAACTTCTATTTCTTGACAAGACCCCCCCTTTTTTGGACGATCAATGCTTTTGAATTGGGACATATGGTTGGAACCCCCCTTTTATCCTGGGTTGGAACCCACTTTTAAAAATGACTAGATCTGCATGTACCGGTATATTCTAGAAAATGATCTGTATAAGTATGTGACAACTACTGTGTACTTCAACGGCTTGAATGGGTGGATAATTTAAGTTTTCTTATGATTACCTTATTAGACAAACATTAATATTCTAACTTCCCTATATTTTGTATGTGCCTGTCCTAAATTAGAAGTCTGTAATTCAGTGGTTGTTGATTTTTGTCATGTTTTTCTTCATTAATTTTTCAAAAAAATAATTTGACTATGTGAAATGGTAGCCTCGGTTGAAGACAAAATGCAAAGGGCTAGTACGAACTTTTCCTGTCACTTGGCATCTGTCATAAATGTTGCGATTTACCTACTGTGTGTTTACATCAAAACTGTCAGGTGACTTCTAATTTGATTTATTACCCATATATGACACTCTTTTTTTCTTTCTTGCCTAATATCTTCAAAACTATAATGGATGAACAGAAACTTTGAATAGAAAAAATAATCAACAAGACAAGATCTACATCTAGGTCAACATGGTTGAAATTGTTAGTCTACTCCAGATTAAAGTTATTACCCATTAATGGAAATGGTCACCAATTGTTTGCGTTTTTTTGCCTTTTATCTTGAAAACAAGAATAGACAGCTCTTCAAATAATTGTCAGTCGACTCCTTATTGGAGTTATTGCCCTTTAGTGACCCTGTTTACCATTTTTATTTTGTTTTTGCCTATCTTGAAAACAATAATAGATAGATAGAAAATTTGAATAGCAAAAATTATCATAATATAAGACAAGATCTAGAAATTAGTCAATGTTACCAAAATTGTCATTTGATTCCTAATAGTAGTAATTGCCCTCATAAATAACGATTTTTACCTATTATTTGTGATATTGTGTATCATTTTGAAAATGTTATAGACGGAGACAGTCTTTAAATAGCAAAAAAGATATGCAAATAATTCAATATTCCTGAAATTGTTGGTCAACTCTTTATATGTGTTATTGCCCTTAAATGACAATAATTACTAGTTTTTTGGCGCTTTTGCTGTTATTTTGAAAATTATTAAAGAAAGATGGAAATTATAATAGCAAAAGAAATCAGAATGGCAAGATCTACAATTAGTCAACATGGCCAAAATTTTCAGTTGACTCCTAAAAGTGTTATTGGCCTTAATGGCCATTTTTAGTTCACCTGGCCTAAAAGGCCAAGTGAGCTTTTCTGATCACTTGGCGTCCGTTGTCCATCGTCTTCGTCTTCCATCATCGTCGTTAACATTTACAAAAATCTTCTCCTCTGAAACTACTGGACCAAGTTTAATCAAACTTGGCCACAATCATCATTGGGGTATCTAGTTTGAAAAATGTGTCCAATGACCTGACCCGCAAACCAAGATGGCCGCCATGGCTAAAAATAGAACATAGGGGTAAAATGTAGATCTTATATCTCTGAAACCAAAGCATTTAGAGCAAATCTGTCATTATTTAAAACTGTTCATCAGGTCAATTTCTATCTGCGCTGAAATTTTCAGACAAATCAGACAACCCGTTGTTGGGGTTGCTGCCCCTGAATTGGCAATTTTTAGAAAATTTTGCAGTTTTTGGTTATTTTCTATAGATAGCGATAAACTGTAAACAGCAATAATGTACAGCAAATTAAGATCTACAAATAAGTCCCCCCCCCCCCCCCCCCCCCCACATGACCAAAATGGTCAATTGACCCCATTAAGGAGTTATAGCCCTTTATGGTCAATTTTTAACAATTTTTTGTAAATTTTTGTAATCTTTTACAAAATTTTTCTCCTCTGAAACTACTGAGACAAATTTAACCAAACTTGGCCACAATCATCATTAGGGTATTTAGTTTAAAAAATGTGTCCGTTGACCCCGCCTGCCAACCCACAGATTGACATGGCTAAAAATAGAACATAAGGGTAAAATGCAGATGTTGGCTTATATCTCTGAAACTAAAGCTTTTAGAGCAAATCTGTCATGGGTAAAAATGTTCATCAGGTTAACTTCTATCTGCCCTGTAATTTTCAGACGACCTGCTATTGGGTTGCTGCGCCTGAATTGGTAATTTTAAGGAAATTTGGAGTTTTTGGTTATTATCTTGAATAATATTATAGATAGATATAGTCAATTTTAACAATTTTTTTGTAAATTTTTGTAATCTCAGACAAATTTAACCAAACTTGGCCACAATCATCATTAGGGTATCTAGTTTAAAAAATGTGTCCGATAACCCCACCTACCAACCAACATAGGCCGACATGGCTAAAAATAGAACATAGGAGTAAAATGCAAGTTTTGTCTATTATTTTTTGAACCGTTATAAATAGAGAAAATCTGAAAAGAGCGAAAATGTTCAGAATAATGAGCTCTACCAATTGTCCGTATACGTCTAAATTGTTAGACAAATTCTTATAGGAGTTATTGCCCAAAAATGACAAATTTTACCATATTTTTTTCATTTTTGCCTATTATCATGAAAACTATGATATTTAGAGAGAAACATTTTTGTTTTCCGTTATGCCTTGTATGATTTAAATTATAATAGATAAATAAACACTTTAAATCACAAAAATGATCAGCAAGGCAAGATCTATTAAAAAGTCAAATTTTGCCGATATAGTTAGTAGACTGTCACTCTTCATAGGAGTGATTGCCCTTAAATGAGTTTTTTTTTTTACCCTCTTTTGTGTTTTGAGCAAAAACTAAAGAAGATAGAAAGAAATTAAAACGACTTAAAGATCAGTAATACAAGATCAACAAAATAGAGATTTTTGTCATGAAGTCTATTCTCGTCTACAATGTTGGAGAGTGTCCTTTGTTTGATATGCACATTGACCAAGGTGAGCAACACAGGCTCTTTAGAGCCTCTAAATTTTCTTTTTTGTGTTATTGTCTATTAATTTCGATTAAAATGGATAGAGAGAGATTAAAATAGCAAAAATGATCCACAAGGCAAGGTATACAAATAGGAAGATATTGCTAAAATCGTTCGTCAACTCATTATAGGAGTGAGTGGCCCTAAATGACAATTTTTACAAAATTTAATGTTGACTTTTTTCATCTTTATCTTGAAAAGTATAATAGATAGATAGATAACTTTAAAAAGCACAAATGATCAGCAAGACGAGATCTGAAAGTTGTTCAGCATAGATGAAATTGTCAGTTGTATTCTTACAGGAGTTATTGCCCATCGAATGACGATTTTTACTCTTTTAATGTCACCTGCCTAAGAGGGTCAAATGAGCTTTTCTCATCTCTTGGCGTCCGTCGTCCGCCGTTAAATGTTACAAAAATCTTCTCTGAAACTACTGGGCCAAATTTAACAAAACTTGGCCACACCCATCATTAGGGGATCTATAGTTTTAAATAAATGTCTCTGATGACCCTGCCTGCCAACCAATATAATAGGGGTCAAATGTAATTTTTGTCTGTTATCTTGAAAACCACTATAACTGATAAATATATATAGAGAAAATCTGATAGAGGCAGAAATGTTGATGAGCTCTACCTATTGTCTATTTACATCAAAACTGTCAGACGACCTTTTATAGGAGTTATTGCTCTAAAATGACGAATTTTGAATATTTTTTTTTCATTTTTGCCTATTATCTTGAAATTAGATAGGTTAGATAGCAAAAAATATCAACAAGACGATGTCTACAAATAAGTTAACATGGTTGAAATCGTCTGACGACCCTTTATTAATCTTAGTGACGATTTTTACCAATATTTTGCGTTTTTGCCTATTATCTTGAAAACTATAGAAGATAGATAGACACTTTATATAGCAAAATAAATATCAGCTAAGCAAGATCTACAAATATCTTAAATTTTGCCGAAATCGTTTGTAAACTCTGGGAGTGATTTCATATTTTATTGGATATTCGAGTGATTTTACCAACTCTTGAGACAACCCCCATTTTTACTATCCACACTAAAAACAACCCCAATTTTTACTATCCACACTAAAATCTTAGTGTGGATAGTAAAAATGGGGGTTGTCTCAAGAGTAGGTAAAATCACTCGAAATTAGGTGAGACATGCGCAGTAGTGATAGATATGTAGTATAAATATAGAAAATTGAATATATTAATCAACAACAAACAAAAAAAAAAAAAATATCTGTATCATATACCCAAGCGCCTGTGCTGGAAAGGTCAAAATAGTTTCGAGATTAAACTAAGCCGTCTTTTTGTTGTTAATTGAAACCAACAGACATAGAAATTGTGATGCACAGAGGATTAACAAATCATCGTCAGTCTAATAGTAATCCGACATGATTTCATTTGTTATATTAGGTTTTATACAATGTCATTTCAAAATTTTTTTTGACGTAATATTATAAGCAGTTTTACAGAATCCCATCACGACTCAAGTCATACGTAATGAGACTTAAATATTTATAATTCACGGTTTGGTAAGTAATCGAAATACTTCAACAAACTGTGTTGAAATCATTCATAACAGATTTTAAAGATATATTATGTTATATGTTTATTTCAAAAAAAAAAAGTGTCAAGATAAAATTGTTATTCCAATAAAAAAAAATAGTAAATGTATGTCACCTTTGTGAGGAATTTAAACTCGTCATCGATGAAGCTTGTTTAAACACGTATAAACTTTCTTGAAGCCTTGACGCTCATTAATGGAATCAGATTTAACAAACAAGATTGTAATCATAGCATATATGCCAATATTATCACAAAATCTGTCCAAAAGATAGACATTACATTACTTACACATTCGTTTTCTAAACGATACAATGTTGCACAACATGAAATGCATTATCATTTGTTTGTGACACTTGTATGTACAATCGTATATCATCTTTTAATCGCTATTCAATAATTAAAAAGAAAATAAGTAAAATTTCAAAAATCATGAATTTTAACATTGCACCCTTAGTAAAAAAGAAACGAGTAATGTTTTCACAAAATATCGTCAATGTTAAAAGAGTCCTCGATTAAATTGTTCTCAGTGATATCCCCTACACAGTTTTCTCTTCGTGGTCCCCAACATCCGTTTGTACCACAGACTGAGGAGCAGTGTTTTCCCGTTAATTCTGAAATGACAATTTGAAAAATGATGTATGGCGAAAAGAAACAAAATACAATACATGTACTAACTATTTATTTTTAATCGTAGTCATACAAGTATTTTTAAATTCCAAATTAATACATTCGTTTTGTTTGAATATAGCATTCGCAACACACGCCAAGAGTTACAACATACTCTTAAGACTACATGTTTAATTATCTGTTTACTAATAAAATATTTTCGTGGTCATCTATGATACAGATATAAAGGCAGACTGTTTGCTCAGGACGGATGTAAATCTGAGTAATTAAACTTGTGTTTCAATCGTGATTATGGACGTATATACTTTTGTTTTATCTTTTGTTTTTTTCTTCTCTCTCTCTCTCTCTTGGACATTTAGTTGTTTTTCAATCATAGACTTATGATAATTGGGCGAACTTCTTTTTATATATTAAATCACTACTGTAACAGTAACTTTAACCCTCCTTGTACAAAGCAATCATTACAGTCATCACCACACGTTCACTCCGATTGTACCAGCGCGCATAGACGGAACATATTAGACAATTCGCCACCACATCATATACGGTGTGATGTAATTTTTTTTTTAGTACACCAAAATGATAATAAATTAATTTCAAGTCTGTGCATTGTTCGAACATCCACTGTGTAGAACGTTGATGAACCATCACAACGTTTTATTGTCCATTTTTCTTTGTTATTGAAAAGTGTATTGGTAATTTCTGTGTTCGTACACCAAAATTAATACTATTTTTTTTTAATTTGAGTTATGCAATGCCTATGATTTTGTGTGCGCCTTTTTAAAAATTATAACCCATATTGAACTTGCTTCTGAATGCAGAATAATCTTACCACATTCAAGGTTTGATCTGTTCTTCGCCACTTTAGCCTGTTGTTCCTTTCTTCGGAATAGATTCGTAAATTTAACAGTATCAACATAGCAAAGTTTATCATTGAAGGCTATTACGACATTTCCGTTTCTGATCCTCTTCAATGAAGTCAGATCCAACGCCTCTATTGATGAGTAAGCAACAGACAGAGCAGCCCCTTGGTACCTGCAAGTAGATAGTCATCCATTGTTAGATTGCATTTTTGTTTATATGCATGCAAACAAACATTAAAAGCTGTCATGACATTTACAATTTGTGTTATGGTTTCATTTGATTTCATATGACAATGGCTTTTCTATAAATTGTCAAGATGAATAAGGAGACGAAATTAACCTCAATCTTTTCATCAGTTACCATCAGTATTAAAATTTAAAAAGCATTGGTTGAACGTTTTTCATGCTAAAAAAAATAGCTGGTGCCGTCCACCCGCCATACACCCAAAATTAAATGCTAGATTTTCCGTCGGAAACCCTAGTTGATTCAAAATCCAATTACAACTGGCCCTGCCTTGTGAATCAGTAAAAATCGTAAATAATACTGTAAATATACCTTACATGATTAATGCATAACAACAAAATAGCACGAATGCTTGTGTGTAACAGATATATACTGTTAACGTATTATTCATTTTGCCAAACTAAATGATAATAAATAAAGCACGCGAAAATGGTACCTTCCAAATATACATTTAGAGTACTATAAAACTGTTGGTACAGAGAGATGTCTTTCTTAAATCAGTTTTGTTAGTATAACGCATTTAAAAAAAAATTAAAATGGCAATACTAAAGCATGTAACTGTTGTATAAGTTTTAGTCGATTTTCGTTTTGGTCATTATGGTTTTGATTGCCCCCTTGTATCCCCTCCCTTTTTACATACCTTTTAGCCCCTCTTCCATAGATAGTGGTAAGATTTCCAAGAAAAGACAAGTCTTTGAAGTCTTTATGTTTTCCCTGCACTATTACAACACCAGTGATTTGCTTTACTGATTTAAAGACGTTTAACTGGTAAGGATGTAATGCAGGAATATTCAAATAGGGATCTCTGCAATAGATGAAAAAAAACATAAATTTCTCAAAAAAGCAAAACAAAAATAGATGGAATGAATCTTAATAACAACAACACAAACGTCATCTAGTTCCCATACTGGAGGTCTTATGTTTGGGGGTTTTGATGTGTGAGACTGCATGCATCATACTTCACTTTAAATTTCATTAACTGTTTTAACCTGTACTCAGGTTTAAAAAAGATCTCAATGCATTCGTTTTCATGGTATTACAGTCAGTTTCCCTACATCAACCGTGGCCTGGTTTGGTTTTAAGTAAAATCTTCCTGAGACAAAGTGAGTTAAAAGTCTATGTGCTTTTGGTGGCTACGACAAATGGAATATATATCCGTATAAAAAAAAAGCAGACGTGGTATGAATGCCAATGAGACAACTTTCCTTTGAAGATCAAAAGACAAAGGTGCGAATAATAATTCATTACAGGTAACAGTATGGTCTTTAACAAAAATCAAAACCCATACCGTATTGTAATCTCTAAAAGGCTCCAGGATGACAAAGAGAAAATGAACGGTGTGAAGGTGACAAAGGTATGATCAATAAACGGTTAACCAATCTATAATGGTTTCCATAAAACTAAATGAGAGGACGTCAACTATTAATTGTTAAGAACCCTTGATTCAGTTCTGTGACCTCTAATTATTCGCAAATTTGTCTTTTGATCTTTAATGGATAGTTGTCTAATTGGCAATAATACCACATCTGCTTATATATATTCGAACATATTCCATTTGAGAAGTTCTTGTTGTCATTCAAGAAAATTTCGAGCTTTAGAATATCTACTGTACGATTACTTAATACCGGTTTCACTTAGCCGTACTTACGAAGTCAAACGAAAGAGACACTACTTATCCTGACAAACGAAGGAGACCGTACTTACCAAGTCAAAGGAGACAGTACTTATCCAATCAAACGAAGGACACAGATGAGTACTGGAAGTCAAATGAAGGAGACAAAACTTACCACGTCAAACGAAGGAGACAAAATTTACCAAGTCAAACGAAGAATATAGTTCTTACCCAGACAGTAATTATGAAGTCGAATGGAAGAGACAGTACTTACGAAGTCAAATGACGGAGACGTACAGTACTTACCAAGTTGAAAGAAGGAGACAGTACTTACCTAGTCAAACGAAGGGGACAGTATGTACCCAGTCAATTGAAGGAAACAGTACTTACTTAGTCAAAGAAATGAGACAGTGCTCACCCAGTCAAACAAAGGAGACAGAAGTTACCCAGTCAAACAGTGGTTTAAGTAGTTACTAATGTAATCACTAGCCAGTCAACACTGAGGTTGTGAGTTCGAACCCCGCTCATGCGTGTGTACTTGACTCCAATCTTAATTGACTAGGATTGTCAGTTTTCCTATCGAAGGTCGGTGGTTTTCTCCGGGCACTCCGGCTTCCTCCACCAATAAAAAATGGCCGCCACGAAATAGCCCAAAAGCGGTGCTTAAAAGTGGCGTTAAAACACCAAAAATCAGAATCAAATCATACATTGTACTCTTTTACTAATCATTTCATTATCAGGTGTGGAAAAAAATGTTAGCAGTTTATGTGTCACTATAACAACCCAATGTGTTAAACAAACAAAGGAGACAGAAGTTACCCAGTCAAACAAAGGAGACAATACTTACGAAGTTAAACGAAGGATACAGTACTTTTTTGGTTAAACGAAGAAGACATTACTGGCCAAATCAAACGAAGGAGACAGTACTTACCCGGTAAAACCAAGGAGACAGAACTTATCCAGTCAAACAAAAGAGACAATACGTACTCGGTCAAACAAAGGAGACAATACTTACCCTTCAAACAAAGGAGACAGTCCGTATCTGGTCAAAGAAGGAGACAGTACTTACCCTGTCAAACAAGAGACAATACTTACCAAGTCAAACGAAGAAAGCAGTACTTACACAGTCAAACGAAGGAGATAGTACTTACCTTTCAAACAAAGGAGACAGTACTTACCCTTCAAATATAGCTTCTACAACGTAAACAAGAGAGACAGTACTTGCCCTTCAAATGTAGCCTCTACAACGTAAACACAGGCGACAGTACTTACCCTTCAAATGTAGCTTCTACAACGTAAACAAGGGAGACTACTTACCCTTCAAATGTAGCTTCTACAACGTAAACAAAGTAGACAGTACTTACCCTTCAAATGTAGCTTCTACAACGTAAACGTAGGAGACAGTACTAACCCCTCAAATGTAGCTTCTACAACGTAAACAAAAGAGACAGTACTTACCCTTCAAATGTAGCATCTACAACGTAATCAAAGTAGACAGTACTTACCCTTCAAATGTAGCTTCTACAACGTAAACAAAGTAGACAGTACTTACCCTTCAAATGTAGCTTCTACAACGTAAACAAAGTGGACATTACTTACCCTTCAGATGTAGCTTCTACAACGTAAACAAAGGAGACAGTACTTACCCTTCAAATGTAGCTTCTGCAACGTAAACAAAGGAGACAGTACTTACTTTTCAAATGTAGCCTCTACAAGGTAAACAAAGGAAACAGTACTCACCCTTCAAATGTAGCTTCTACAACGTAAACAAAGGAGACAGTACTTACCCTTCAAATGTAGCTTCTACAACGTAAACGTAGAAGACAGTACTTACCCCTCAAATGTAGCTTCTACAACGTAAACGTAGGAGACAGTACTTACCCTACAAATGTAGCTTCTACAACGTAAACGAAGGAGACAGTACTTACCCCTTAAATTTAGCTTCTATAACGTAAACGTAGGAGACAGTACTTACCCCTTAAATGTAGCTTCTACAACGTAAACGTAGGAGACAGTACTTACCCTTCAAATGTAGCTTCTACTACGTAAACGTAGGAGACAGTACTTACCCCTCAAATGTAGCTTCTACAATGTTGAGGTTCCCGATGATTTTTGTACAGCCAGTCAGTTTGACAAGGTTTGAGTTATTGATATAGTCTATATTATTAGTTCTACATTCTGAAATACGAATAAGGATACAATAAAGTCAAATGTGTCGAGTCTACTAAAAAAAAAATTAAAAAAAATAGTATATTCTGGAAATTATAAAGTTTTACACATGTTCCATCTGTATCTATAAATCTGAGTAAACTAGACATCATTGAGATGGCCCCGCTAACCTGACCTTGAACTTTGACCTAGGAAGTTGTACAAACATTATGACACACCCTCTGGTATTGGTTAATATACCTGTCAAGTATAAAGTATGAAATTATAACGGTTCTCTAGATGCAGAGCGGACCCAATTTGTTACGGACGGACAGACTGATCACTATAGGGCGACCCGCCACTAGGCGGGGCCCTAATTAAGGTAATTTCCCTTCAAATTTCCCCTGAAATAATTGCCAGAATCCTATGAGCATGATTCCAGTTGCTAACACCACATACAATATACATGTATATGCTGAAATGTTTAAATATTTTTCCGTTATATCAATAGTAAATGAATATATGAAGAAGATGTCCGAAGTAAAGGTCATGCTCAGTGGAGAACCCGGATAATGATCTTTTAATATATTATAATCGTCCTCAAAAATCGTTTGACATTTAGTTAACTTTTGAATGTTTAATACTAATTTCACGGAGGATACTTACACAAACACGCATTAGGACATGCAATTTGGAAAATGGAAAACTAACCGTGAATACATTCTCCTATAAAATCACAAAACAAAGTATCTTTGTAACTATTTATCATTTTTTAATATAGGTAACAGTATTAGACTATAATTTTGAGAGTTTGACTAATCGATTGATTTTTGGCGTAACGTCCAGTTGCAAATATTTCATGCATTTGCAGGAAAACTGAGTTAGAGAATGTACATTGAATCATGGAAAATCATATTATTTTTTTCTCAGTCAATGAACAATTTCATAGGATACTTTGTTTAGTATTTTTTTTAAAATTTTTCTATAAGTTTGATAGATTTAATCTCGTAATTGACTGATAGATAAAGGACAGACGCTCCAGCCTACCGATGTCAAGCAATGCAGCCATTATCTTGTTTCACATGGTTGGAGCCAAAATTTGAGTACTCTCGATCCCTTAGCTCAGCTATAACAGTTAATCAGTAACGTTCTCACACCCGATAACAGAACACCACTGTTAATTTGTATACGGTAAAAACCGAAATAATTTGCTGAAGTCTGTCGCGATCATGGGTTGGTCCTTTTTTTTCCAAAAATATGGTCTATTCAAACTCAAATACAGGTTATCATAAATGATTCCATGATTGATGTTTATCCCATATACACATTTATATTTCAATCTATAATTTAGACATACAATAGTACTGACCTTTAGCGTGTCCTTGTCCACTTCCTAGCATTAAAACAGCAATCACCAATCGAATCATCACAGTTACTACAAACTACGAACTATTACAATCTAGAAAATTGGATGATGAACTTTTGTTAAACAGACGTAAGGTTTTATAACTACAAAATTATGACGGATTGAAATATAATTCTACTGGTATTATTTCTTTTTCTTCTTTGAAAGTTCATATTTCCTTGGAAGTCATGTCATTGGCGTCAAGTCTCGCTAGGTATCACAGATAATAGGATCAAATATGTGTGTGATTATTAGAGGCTTACACGATTTGCTATTTGTAGTTATATTTTATGATAAAAAAAATATACGGAGGACGTTTGTCACTTGCTGAGACAATTCCTTGTGGGTTTGGAATTAAAAGCAAGTCATGTTCAAGGGCGTTTTTTCGTTTATCGATGGAGGACATAATCCGTTGATAGACATTTGTATGGAGTTACATAGTAAAAAGTCGGTTGATCCGAGTAGTAAGAGAACGTTGGTACAATGTACTGGTTTTATCAAAAGATTCATTTGGAAGTTAAAATCATTATACATACATTGTACTAGGGCCTCGGTGGCCGAGTGGTTTAAGTAGTTACTACTGTAATCACTAGCCAGTCAACACTGAGGTTGTGAGTTCGAACCCCGCTCGTGCGTGTGCACTTGACTCCAATCTTAATTGACTAGGATTGTCAGTTTTCCTATCGAAGGTCGGTGGTTTTCTCCGGGCACTCCGGCTTCCTCCACCAATAAAAAATGGCCGCCACGAAATAGCCCAAAAGCGGTGCTTAAAAGTGGCGTTAAAACACCAAAAATCAAAATCAAATCATACATTGTACTCTTTTACTAATCATTTCATTATCAGGTGTGGAAAAAAATGTTAGCAGTTTATGTGTCACTATAACAACCCAATGTGTTAAATTTCGGGCGTAAAAGATAAAACTAACGAAACACGTTACGTAATCGTGTATTTCATAACAACTCATTATCAATGTTAAAAAGGCATCTTTTTATCTGTTTTTTTTTCTGGACGATATTGTGTTGATACCAAAGAAATCTTGTTATTACCAAAAGTTACCAGATGTAACATTTAAAGCAGGATCTGCTTACCCTTGCGGAACATCTGAAATCACCCCCAGTTTTTGTGGGGTTCGTGTTGCTCAGTCTTTAGTTTTCTATGTTGTGTTTTGTGTACTGTTGTTTGTCTGTTTGTCTGTTTCTTAATTTTTTAGCTATGACTTTGTCAGTTTATTTCGACTTATATATGAGTTTGAATATTCATTTGGTATCTTTCGCCTCTCTTTTAAAAGTAATTACTGAAACTTGATCTAATGTTGTTTTTAAGAATTCTGCATGTTAATGAACACTGGTCCGCTGATCAGATGAGTAAGTTACTTAAAACTTGATCTGTTTTTTTCTTGAACATACCTTTGATATGCAAGAATATTATTACTATCTGCATTTAGGGTTATTTTCTTTTGGGCTTCAATGAAATTGCATTTAGTGACCTAGTCTGCAGGTTTTCAGAGGCGACCACTCTAATTTCAAAATAAGAGCTTTGTTTAAAATTGATCCGAAACTATAATTAATTATCATATTTAAAAAACAAACTAATTAATTTGGGTTTTTAATTTTTTCAGAAAAAAATTATGAAAATAGTTAACCTTTTACCACTGTTCTGCGTGATTCTAGAAATGAATGTATGACTTTACAAAGTAGACTTTTAACTTATATCTGTCTATATACTGTACTGTCAATCAACATTCCCGTTCTCCTCTGCTATTCACGCATTAATTGATATATCAATGGTTATCAAGTTTAATTAGTATCTACAATAACTTAAATCAGCCAGACGTGTGTTTGACACAAAACGTTTGGGGTCAAATTATTAATTATTTAAGAACACGTACCAAAGCCAAAACGAAATTTAACAGAACAACCAAAAATAGCATGGTTAATACTGAGCAATCTTACCTGAGATAGTTGAAACTTTAGTTTTAGTAGAATTACACGATCTATCAACTGATTATTTACAATAAAATTTTGTTATTTAAATCTGCCAAGTTTCTGAGCAGCTGGTACCTAGATACCCAAGGCTATATATATATGTACTTAAAAACTCATTGCATTTTTGATAATTGATTACTCGAAACGGATCGACCTGTAACCACTAAATCAACGGAATTCTTTCCTTAGTTTGTAACTCCAAACTGATGTACATCAACTGACTGAGTCCTCCATAAACCGAATGACGCTATTTGTTTTACCTGACTAGCAACAGATGAAAATGAATATTCCGTTCGAGAACCCGCCCCTCCTTTCGGGACCTAAACAATTAAATGAGCGTCCCCTTATATCTAACTTATATTTCCGCCATAGAAAGATATGAATAGCCCCCGATGATATCCTATATCTAATTTACTATTAATTAAGTGACCAGGAAGGAATATTTTAAATTAATAAATGATAGTGTATGCAGTACATACTCAAATTCAAAATACTATACATTAGTCAATAATTCTAGCATCGACTATATTTAATTGAGAGTCATACAAACCAACTGACAAGAGGAACGAAAAGCATATGTCAATTAAAATTACTTCTTTCAATTTTGATATTTTAGATTTCTTGTTTTTCATTATTCTACATTTGACTGAATTTTTTATCTGATGATTACATTTAGTTTAGAGCATTCTCTTGTAAATGTAGGCGACAGTAATCTGTTTGAAAGGATATGTTATTAAATATCTTGTTTGCAAGTAAAACCCTGCAACTGATAGATAATCAATTTCTCTTTTATTAAAGAATGTTACACAACAGACGAAAATCTTGAAATGAGAAACATCTTTTCTTAAAATTTATTTTAATTAATCTTTTTAGTCTTATGAAAACGACAATTGCTTTAAATATTATCATGACTAACAATAAGTACTAGTGAACTTAATCAATTCACCAATATCAACATTTTCTGGAACCAATAGTCACTGGTAAGATATACAATTAACTGTGTCAATGGAGGTTCAGACATTCGAACCCTCAGAGCACGCAGCATACGAATGAGTCAACTTTGATTCCATGTCCTGATTTGGCTATACTTTGGTCCTTTTAGGTTTGATCAGCTCTTCAACGTTTTTATTGGGTTTTGAAATTTGAGATATTTCAGCCTCAACATCAATGTCGAGACATCAATTGTCGAAATGCGCACCTGCAGCCGGTTGTACGAACGTGTCATTAGTCTAATGAGTCATTAAGTCTTCATTAGCCTAATGCATCATAAAGGCTTAATGAAGACTTAATGACCCATTAGGCTAATGCCACGTTCGTACAACCGGCTGCTGGTCATTAAAATTGGTACCGTTAATGTATAGGGCATACGATACAGTTACAGGGGAGGTAATAACGTCGCTATCGCAAAATGTGATTTTTCGCGACGTCAAACTGTGACATATCGAGAGAAGTTGCATTTTCCACTGACTTTTATCATTCAGACTGATTCAACTTGAAATCGAGTTCATGGACCCCTTTTTTAAAAATGACATTTGGCTTGATTATGTATGAAGATTATTTTTGCCAATTTTCATGAACAAATCACCGATGAAATTTTTTTTAAATTAGATAAATATACAGCAAAGAATGACGCTTTTTGACTAAAATTGTGAAAATGTGATAAAACTTAATTATTTCCAAAGAATTGTAACACAAATTTAATTCCAGTAAATGTCTAAAATTTCGACCCCGTTTATCTCTGAAAGTAGCTCTGTCACAAGGCCGTAACTAGGCATATTATTTTAGTGAGGCAGAATTGAGCCGAGCGAAGCGAGGCGAAAAATTTTGGCAGGGGGTCTGAGATAGATGGTGTAAAGTCCTGCATTCTGGGCATTTACAGAGAGCTTGACATCGTTTTTATTTTTGGACACTTTTTATATATTTTTCATATTTTAAGACGTGTACAAACACCAAATTTTAACAACTTTATCTAAATTTATATGTCAGATAAACATCCAAATATCAATTTGAGTCTGCCGCCATAACACAGAACAAACATCGACTCAGAAGTAATTGTTATTCAAATTTGAGTTTGCCAATTTTTCTATTGCTGGTTTCGTCAAATCGTTTCAGAATAATTGTTCTGCTGACATCCTTATCGCGATGAACATGGAGCATGGCAAGACTGCATAATCTCTCGGCACTCATGCATGATCTTTCCCAAGTTTTCAGTCGTCTCAGGGCAGAAAAAGAACGTTCACAGCAAACACTCGTCACTGATATTTTAGATCGAGAATCGAATAATGAGGGGGGTAGGAGGGGGTCCGATCCCGAAATCCCGAATTAAAAGACACGAAATTCCGTAATCCCGACTTAGAAAACATGAAATCCCGTTTTAAAGGTCCTACCGTCCTTCAATAATGTCAAAATTGGATTACGGGATGTTCTTAAAAATTTTAAAGTAAAAGAAACATAGATAAAAACTAATCCATGCAGGTTTCATATCATTTATATTTTGTTTATCTGTAAAGAGAATGAATAAAGTTGGGGGAAACGGGGAAATGAATATGCAGACAGGACTGCTCCCGTGCGGGTGTCCATGTACTTGATTTGTCAGTCTATTTATAGTTTTTGGATTAGTTCCAATGAAAATATATTCAATACTCAAACTCTTAATTAACACTTGTTATGATCACAAACAACATCAGTTAGTTTACTAGAACTATAATAAAAAATTCCTTCCTCCCTTCAGTATCGCTTTTCCTTTTTCTGCAAGAGCCTGTTTTTAACCAGAGATCCATGATGATTACCGTTACTAGGTTAATGTAATCGAGAAACCCGGTGAGATGCTGATTTATATCCGGGAAGAACAATTTAAAAGGAACGATGTGACTCAAGTTATAGAAGAAATTAAGGTTGAGACAGAAAAAAACAAATGACTATATTTCGTATTTAATTACCATAAACAAATACACCAAAAAAAAAATTCAGTGTCGAAATTTTAGTGATGCAATTGCCTCACTTGCCTCAATGGTAGTTACGGCCTTGAGCTCATGAAGGTAAAAACTATATTGTTTATTACATATTTG